TGTATATATGTGTATATGCATGTATATATGTATGTATGTATAATGGATGTATGTATGTATGTATGTATGTATGTATGTATGTATGTATGTATGTATGTATGTATGTATGTATGTATGTATGTATGTGTGATTGTATGTTTGTATGTATGTATGTATGTATGTTGGTGTGTATGTATGTATGTATGTGTGTTTGTATGTATGAAGTTAAGTATGTATGTTGGCCAAACCTGCAGTTAGCAAATCATCGAGGCTTCACAAAATTGAAGAAATGCTTTTCCTCAGAACTTCTGAACTTTTCAGTATAAAAACTCTATTCAAATCAGTATAGAAAGCAAGCACAATTTTTCCAGGCCTTTTTGTTGGTTTTAATCGGTTTTTTTTATAAGACCGCTCAAAAACCGCTCAAATCTTGCTTGAAAAACCGTTCAAAAATCACCGCAAGAAATGGGCGGTTTTTGAGCGGTTTTTTAATCAAGATTTGAGCGGTTTGAGCGGTTTTTCCAAAAAAAACCGCCCAAACCGCCCAAACCGCCCAAACCGCTCAAATCTTGCTGAAAAACCGCTCATATCTTGAGCGGTTTTTGAGCGGGATCTCGACCCGGGCTTCCTATAAAATATGAACAACAAAAGGCATGAAGACGAAAACAACATGGAAACCTACTCAAAAAAGCGACAAACACATTTTCGTGAGGATAAAAGTTTTAAGTTTAAATTTTCTATTCCTTTAGATCAAGTAAAATATGCATTAATTGGTAACAAATACGACAGAAGTCAAATAAATGTCTAGAAAAACGTGTTTTCTCCATGTACCGATAAATCGTGTGAATGTACACTGTTTTTTGTGTCTTATAACACGAAACTTTTTTGTGTCTTATAACGCGAAACCTCGAGACAGAGTTCTTAAAACAGTCAAATAGTTGCACAAAAATTTTCCCCGGTTTCCCCGAGCTTTTCTTCACCTAACTCCAAAACATGAGATCTTAAACAATGAGTGTAATAATTTGCGACATAGACATTTAGGCGCAGCATTTTATTTAAGCGTAGCGGAAAATTCCGCACTGAAAGTCATTGAAACAGATCTGAGGCAAACATATCTAAGTATTGTACCTCAGATCAGCCTCAAGAATCGTCAGTGCGGAATACTTCGCCTTACTTAAACTATTTGTTCTTACCCATTAAGAAGGACTAATCAACTTCCACTAAATAACTTTCCTTGGCCCAACTCAAGAAGTAACGCCAGTGGCACCAAGTTCCGCTACGCTATTGTACTATGTCCAAAAGTTTGATGGCAGTTTTGATGTATTTTAAATCATTTCTAAACAGGAACATAATTTAAAACGAAGTAACCAGTCTCTAAATGATACTTCGGACGCAATTTTGCAAATTATTCCAAATCATTTTTTTCTGGCATAAATGAGCTTTGTCATTATCACTGTCTAGTCAGCTCAATCGAGATAAAACACCAAGGTTAAATTTGAGCATTGGTATTTAATATCTTTCAGGCAGAGCGAAACATTTTCTTGAATTTTTAATTAAAATTATCTGGTTTCTCAGGAATAAGAAATAAACTTAAATAAATGTGCTCAAAGAACAAGCACAAAATTTCATCACCTTTTTCAACAAACGCACTAATTTCTATGACATTTTAAAAAAAAATTGCATTAAATAGTTCCTAAACTTTTGGAAACAAGTCTAAACATGCCTCTTTTTATCTCCACTATCGGAAGTTTTTTTGATTTTGAGGATTCGATGTTTTCTTCTGTCGGTACAAAAATTTCTGTGGAAAACGTTATTTTGATTGCCAAGTTGTTTGGTTAAAAAAATCAAAAGGCTAATTTGATGCGTTACTTTCTTCAAAAAAAGGATTTCAACTATTTATTAATTTTTTAAATTAGAAACTTTGAAATTTTGTTGTTCTGACCATTGAAAATTGGGAGGAAGTTTGAATTCGGGTGTGTTTTCGGTTTTTCTACGTTTAGTTTATAACGCAGAATCACACACTGTAATTACTAATTAGGCTGGGTCAATTAGTTTATCATAAAAATTTTTTCAAGCGTGATTTAACCAAGATTAAAATTTTTCAAAAAATATCCTCATGTCCAATGTCATGCGATCAAAGCATGTTTTCTAAAGAAGAATAAGTCTTGATACTTTATTTTTTGCCTCTAATTAAAAATTTTAGCGCCATTTTTTGAATAACCATTTGAAATTCCAAAAAAAATTACAAAAAAAGGATATTTTGATGTTTTCGGTTTTGTTCTAGTAGTTTTTCAGTGCCCTATTTTTTTTTACTGTGACGGTTACAAAATTTAGTTTTTCTTTTGATTGTTTCATCACATCACACGCGAAAAGAAAACGCCAATTAAAAAACTGAAAAAAAAACTTTACATGATTTTTTTCCGCGCGTGCTGGGCTAATTGCACATCAACTGACAATACTTGTTCTTAATTTGTTTTTGTCCTTGATTAATGCTTAAAAGGTTTGAGTTTTTTGTGTCGTTCAATTAAAAAAACACAAGATTATCAGATTTGCTGCGCTATCACGGGATACTTCATACAAATCCATGGTTGCCCAGGGCAGAACACATTCAGCTTGAACCAATCAAAGGTCAGCGTATCTTTCAGTAAGCTCCTTTCGAATGTTATCACATGATGTCCTACATAAGGTAACGGAACAATGAAAGTAGCATCTGGGTGACCTCCAAATACTGTAATTTTGTGACGTATGGTGCCATAACTTATTCCAATGATGACGTTCGCGCAAAGATAGTCGTCGTAACGGACCTAAAACATACAAAGGGTTTCAAGTTTTAATAGATTTACTGCCCAAATCAAACAAAGATATTAATGTTTAAGCAAAAAATTATGGCTAGAATTGCTATTTGAATGATATCAACAAATCAAAAGGGGGTGTTCACAGTGCCGAAGTGCAACAGTGCCGAAAAAGGCCGTGAAAATTTAGTTGAATTTAAAAGCGTTTTCTCAACAAAAAAAATCACGCTATAAACAATTCATTTGGCGCTAAAACGTCTGTGTTGCAAATTTTCTCGCTCAACGTCTTTGATCACCGTTTAATTTTTGATTGCCGCAATTGATATGTTGAAATTAGCTCAAGTTTTTGAACTACTTTTTTCCGACCCTTGTACTTCGGCACTGTTGTACTGTGCAATTAGAAGTGAGTAATCGCTTTTCAGTTTTCACTTGAAATATATTTTCCATCCTTGGACTGTTTAATCAAAAAAACTCCGTTTTGCAGCAATTTAAGACCCTTCAAAGGCGTAATTTAAAGACGCATTTTAAAAGCCTTGTTCAGGCAAAAGATCATTACCTACCAACAAAAAAAATTGTATATGAAAACATTTTAACTGAATAAAAAAAGTTGAAAATCAATTATACGCAAATTTTGTGATCTGTCTCCATGAAATTCGAAATCAATTCTAATGTGGTCATCATTCCGCACCAAAGTTAAATTTTTAGTGAATGGGATTAAATTTCTATTAAATCATTCTTTTAGAAAAAACTTTCATTTTTTCGAATTTAAATCGTTTATAACCGATTGTGTTTCTCATTTTTTTTTCTCTTTTTGCTTCTAAGTATTTTATAATTTATGCGTTTCAAAGACGTTGAATTACATAAACATTTGGATAACCCTATCAGCAGCTTTAAAATTGCGACTCTAAAATCATTTAAAAGATTGGATGAAACTCAAGATATCTTCAATTGAGCTGTTTTTTGAAACAAAGATCAATTTCTTTCAAACTAAAAAATATCGCAATTCTTTCAATTAGTCGTTACTCCCATCAGGTATCTTGAATATTGTGTTCGGCTCAAAATTTAAAGAAAAATGCAAAAAAAAACTGGATCATTTTCGGTCAGAAATTCTGATTTTTTGTAAATCAAAAAGAAATCTAATTCCCGTACCAGTCATAGTAGTAGAAAAATTATTTTTTGAAGGAGCTTTGATTTTTTTTGACAGAAAGCACCCCGAGCACAAAATTTACCTCGAGCAAAAATATTACCCCGAGCTCAATTGGCAGAAACCAACCCGAGCACAAAAATTAATTCTGTCATTTGCTTTGCAAATCGGAAATCTAGAGTGATAAAACTTAAATCTACTAAAAGAGTTTTTGGATCATTTAGCATTCCTGATTTTCTTTTTATATAGGTTTCAATTCGGATGTATTCGAAGTTTATGCGTTGTAATAAAAAAGTTATTGAAGACTAGTCATTGTTTATTTCAATGGATAAATAGAGTATTGATAGGATAATTGATTCTTTTAAATTGTATTCGACTTTAAAGAGGCATAGTTCAATCATTTTCTTAAAACAATTTTGCGTTGAATTGAAATTTGGAAAAATATATACAAACAAAAAATTTTTTTATTCCGAGTTTTTTTCTGGAAAGATTTTGCTTTTCATCATCCAAAATAACATTTATTGGTGTTTATGCCTTCTAAAATCTTTTAGTTTTGCAGATGTTGTTTAACATTTTGAATCTTTTGAATGAATTTATACTAATTACAAACATTTATAATTTTAACTACAGTTCTTATTTTTTTGAGCTTCCAATTAATTTCAAATGTAAAAATAGAAAAAATGTTTCAAAATTTTTTATCATAACTAAAGTTTTTCAAATTGCACAAATACCCTTTGGTCTCTTGCTATGAGCCAAACATTTTCAGCAGTCTCCGCTTGGAATCATATGTAAAAAACTTGTCACCAACAATCCATCAAGGAAAATTTTTCTCTATTTTCATGATCGCGCTTGAAATTGTGCTTATTGTGCTTATTTCTTGCATGCAATAATTTTTTGAGTCACCTTGGTATCTAAAAATCTGTTTGACCGAATGATAAAGTTAATTTTTTTTTGGGGGGGGGGAATGAGCTGCGATGATCTGCTTTTGTTGAAGTTGCTTATGATGCAATTGATTTAGGTGCACTCACAGATGCAAGAAGCCTCGTAGTTACTTTTAATAATAATAACAATCATAATCATAATAATCATAATAATATTAATAAAAATAATAAGAAGAAAAATAGCAAAACTGTTCGTATCAAGGCAAAGTTCCGAATCTTCCGACTGCCTCCTAAGGTCTATGGACCAGTATTAATATGAAAAAGTGAATGTAATAAAAAAATGGAAAAAAAAAATAATGTTTGAAATTTTTTGTGAAAATCATCCCCCATGCGCCATATTAAAAACAAAGTGATATAATTTGCTCCTATTAACAAATCAATTATGACATATAAGCTTCCCTGAGCCAATTTGGAGTGATTTCTAAGACGGATTAAATCTCCGCTTACGCGTTAACTGTGCGAACTATATTTCATATTATTTGTCCCAAATTGGCCAAAAAGACAATCTTTAAACCTTCATAACTTCCCGAAAAAAAATCACAGGTAAAATATCTTTTCAAATTCAAGCTCATGACAACAATTCCTTTCGAATGATTTGTTAAAGTTTTGGCAAAAATGGCTAGTTGAAAAGTCAAAATTTGTCAGAAGAAAAAAACCCACCCCGAGCACAATTATTCCGTTACTTTCGATATGAAAGTCGGAACAATAAAAAATTGTTTCCAAATATTATCTAGTTAGACAAATTTTGAATGTTTAAAATACATGTCTGAATCGAATGAGAGAACAAAATTACGCCAGAACGCCCCGTTTATATAGTGAGCTCCCATACAAATCAGATTTGTTTTGTAAATTCATATAAGCAACAATCTAGCACGAAATCTGGTACACAGTTGTTGATAGTTTGTTAATAACTTGGACCCACTTTGATCGTGGCTCACTCTTCTGTTAGATTTACCACCGTTTGCTCAACTAAAAGCGTTTAATATTTCGCTCGTAATACGCTTGCACATAATACACATGCTTAGAAAACACAGTAAATCTAAAAAAGGAGGTTTTTCAAAGTATTGCCCAACTGTACAATTCATGAAAATCAGACGGTTTCCATAAATGTTTGGATAACCCTATCAGCAGTTTTGAAACTGATACTCTAAATCATTTGAAATATTGGATGAAACTCAAGAAATCTTCAACTGAACCGTTTTTTGAAGCAAAGATCAATTACATTAAAACAGAAAAGTATCGCAGTTTTTCTTTTAGCCGTTACTCCTACGAGGTATCTTAAATATTGTGTCAAAACTTTCGGCTCGAAATTTTACGGAAGTATCATAAAAAGCCTGGATTATTTTTGGTTAAAAATTCTGAATTTTTTTATATCAAAAAATAATACTTTTCCCGTACCACTCAAAGTAGTAGAAACGTTTTTTGAGGGAGCCTTGATTTTTTTTTGAAAGAAACCACCCCGAGCACAAAATTTATCTAGAGCAAAAAAATTTACCACGAGCAAAAATTTCAGAAACCACCCCGAGCTAAAATGTCAGAAACCACAAAAAATAACTCTGTCATTTGCTTTGCAAATTGGAAATACTACAGTGATAAAATTTGAGTATACTAAAACAGTTTCCTTTTGGTATATTTTTCAAGTCGGATGATTCGAAATTTATGCGTTGTAATATAAAAATTAATGCGGATTAGTGTTTTATTATTTCAATGAAAATACTAGAGTGATAAAACTTAAATCTACTAAAAGAGTATTTTGATCATTTAGCGTTCCTGATTTTCTTTTGATATAGGTTTCAATTCGGATGTATTCGAAGTTTATGCGTTGTAATAAAAAAGTTATTGAGGAAAGTCATTTTTTATTTCAATGGATAAATAGAGTATTGATAGGTTATTTGATTCTTTTAATTTGTATACTACTTTAAAGAGGCAGAGTTCACTCATTTTTTCTAAAACAATTTTTCATTGTATTGAAATTTGGAAAAATATACACAAAACCAAATCTTTTTCTCTCCGAGCTTTTTTCTTGAAAGGTTTTGCTTTTCCTCATCCAATATAACATTTATTGGTGATTATGATTTCCAAAATCTTCTAGATTTGCAGATGTTGCTTAAAATTTTCCCATCTTTCGAATAAAATTATTATAATTAGCGGTACTAAATTTCTGTTTTTTTTTGAGTTTCCATTTAAATTAAATTCTAATAATATAGAAAAGTGTTTCAAATTTTTTTTATCATAACTAAAATTTCTCAAATATCACAAATACACATTGGCTTCTTTCTATGAGCGTAAAAATTTAAGCAGTCTCCGGTTGGATTCATATGTAACTAACGTGCCACCAACAATCCATCATGCAAAGCTTTTCTAGAGATGTGTTCGACTGAATGACAAAATCAATTTTTGAAAAAAAAGAACTGCAAAAGTCGCTTTTGTTGAAGTAGCTCATGATGCAATTGATTTGGTTTCAGTCAGAGATGCAAGAATCTTTGTAGTTATAATCATAAAAATAATCATAAAAATAATAAAAAATTTTATAATAATCCTAATGACAATCATAATAATGATAATAATAACAAGACTGCTCGTATCAGGGCGAAACCCTGAGTTTTGCGACTGCCTCTTAAGGTCTATGGACGAGTAATAAAATGAAAAGCTTAAATGTAATAAAATAAAATTGAATAATAAATTAAGTTAGCAAATTTTAAGCCGAACCCGCAAATTGTTAGCGGAACTCTTAAAGTTACTTAAAATTACTTTTGTAAAGAAATCTTTTTTCTCGGTCATCAGCAAGACTGTTCAAAAGTTCATTCTCTAATACAAACAATACTTTGAACTCACCAGCTGAATTTCAAAGTCTGAAAGAATGAACAACATTCCGATCTCAAATATTGAGAGAACGAACGCATTTCATATCTCAAACACTACAAGAATTAACACCTTTTCAATATCAAATTTCGGAATCTGGATATATAGCTATACTTGCTCGTTGCAGAACCTGCGACAAACTAAAATGTCAACAAATTTTACGTTACGCTCAAAATCGCTCCAAAAATGGCAACTTTGAGGAATTCGCAACAAAATGAACTAGTTAGTAGAATCCAGGAGCAAATAGTAATATCTGTGTTTAGTAAAATAAGCTGTCACGAAATCCGCAACTGTAAGTGAAATCCGCAAATTGGAAGCGGATTCCGCAAACTGTAAGCGGAATCCGCATAAGTTTGCGGAATCCACCTACATTTGCGGATTCCGCTTACATTTGCGGAAACCGGAACCACTATCTATATTCGCTCTTTGCGGAATCCTCAACAAAATCAATGTGGTGACAAAACTTACGTTAGAGGTTTTTGTACGTGGAATTCATGGACATTTTGTACAAGGAATCTACCTTCATTTTGAATCATGTTTAAAGTCTTGTTTCTGAAATCCAGGAACATACAGACACCAAACCTATCCAGAGAAAATTTTGAACTCGTAAACTCGTAAAACTTCAAAAATAAATATATTTTAAAAAAACCTCTTTTGAGGGTCATATAAACTGAACCATTGTTATTAGATCTTGAACTGTTTCTGTACAAAAGTGATTATTACATAATTCCATACAAAACTGGTTGAATACAATTTCATACAATTCCATGGATGGATTCTATAAAAAATGTGTTTCAAAAATTCTCATATGAAATTTGTGCAATAAGCCTTTTCCAATAAAATGGTTTTTTCAAAAAATTTTCCAAAAAGCTTCTTGGGTAAATTTAACTGACCTTACATTCAGTTTTTTTTCAATGAGATCATTTTGGTCATCATAATTTTGATTTTCATGACAAACAAAAAACAAAAAAAAACTTACCATACCGTTTTAATTTATAAAAACTGCAGAAGCATTTTTTTTTTTCAATTTAAAAAAAAATTGAGGAAAAAATGTCTTGGTTCTCATTTTAGTCGCTAAACCAGCTTTATGAAAAAAAGTGTGCCCCAAAAAAATTTTGCTTTCAAAACTTTCAAACTTTTGCTTATAACCTAGTCCGTGACCTGTCTTCGTTCTCTGTGATTGCTGTGTTTTTGTAATAAATTTAAGTATAACTCATTTGCTTAACTTACTTGGTATCTATCAAAACCTAAATAAAATTACAACCTCAATGCTGTTTAACCTATTGGTTCTCATTTTGGTGAAAACTAAGTATTTTGGTATCAGGGTAAAACATGAAACGTATAATGGAAACATGCTTGTCATACATTACGATCGTATGGAAAAAGTGTTTCTCTTAAGATTCCATAAGGCGGAATTGCTTCTTTCGTACAAGTTTTTGAATCTAAAGAAGTGATTGATAATATTTTTCCCATAGTATGGAAATGTATGATAATCGTATTTGTCAACTCGGGTAATCATATCTCGATCTAGCAGGTTGGACAAAGGTGTCACAATCAACATTCACGTTTCTTCACTCTTTTTTCTTGAAAAGTTTTTGATTAAAATTTTCAGCAAAAGTATTGAGCGTAACGCCGTAATTTGAATATCTATAAAAATAATTAAACAAGTCGCTATTTGTATAAGGCAAATTATTAAGATATTAGTGCCTAACGTTCAAGAACCAGCCATTCTCGGCGCTAAAAGATATGCGGACTTACCTTGAGGTGTCGTAAGAGTTTTCCATCGCTAGAAAAATCTGTCATTTTGTTCATGTAGTCTTGAGGAGATATTCCATGGTCCTGACCAAACATTTCATAGGTTCGGATCTGAAATTTGCAGCATGCTGAAAACAAACAAACTGAAAAATTGCAGTAACTTGTTTTTTATTGCAGATGCTAGATATCAACTCAATGTAAATAAAAAATCAATTTTCTCTGGTTTTTGTTTCTTAACCAGAACCTATATGAATGTATTTTTTTTAAAAACCCAAAAAAACTAGACACCGCCATTCAATTTCAATTTTCTGAAAAAACTATCTTAATACATCGTTTGAATCTTTTTGTATGTATAATTTCTTAAGTTTCATTCATTTATTCTATACTTGAAATCTAATCAGGAATCAAATTTTGTTTAAAACCAAAATAACATCGAAAACTCGAAAACTCAAAAGCTCACAACCGGTCGAGGATAAAAACAAATCGCCAAAAAACAGACTGCCCTGAACTTTCAGAATGCTTTTCTACTCGCTATACCAAATGTGGAAACCGAATTTTTTACACTCTCAGCTCTGAAATGTTAACTTTTGTTCTTTTCAACACTTCGTTTACAACAGCATTGCTTGTCTCAATTCATTCATTTTTTGATTATTTTGTCACTAACACGTCCTATAGCACATAGAAATCAATAAAAGCCTGCTACTATTGTTCCAAATAAGCCATTTTAAAATTTCCAAATCCACGTTAATTTTAAATTTTTTTAAACTTTAAAAGGTTTTGTATTTCAAGACAACAAAGAGCCATTGTAAAACTGTATCGCATAATCGCATCGAGAAAAATTTTTTGCGTTTCATAATGGAACTAGTCAAGTTTTCTTTTTGATTAATTCTTACAAAAAAACTGATTATCTCAATTTTCCACGCAAAGTAAATTACTTAAAATAACTTAATTATGAATTGATTTGAACACCATTATTCATGTTTTAGTTTGAAAGCAGAATTGTTTCATTATCTTTCAGAAATCGAAAAATTGAGACTAAGAGTTTCTGGTAGATAAGCTTCTAAAAAGTGAGATTTTTCTTTCGGAATGATGATGACTGAGGTTCTGAGAGACTGAGGTGTTACCTGTGTTCTCAGATTCATCGAATGAGTACCAATTAATGCTTCTGTAGTTAACAAAGAGCCATTGTAAAACTGTATCGCATAATCGCATCGAGAAAAATTTTTTGCGTTTCATAATGGAACTAGTCAAGTTTTCTTTTTGATTAATTCTTACAAAAAAACTGATTATCTCAATTTTCCACGCAAAGTAAATTACTTAAAATAACTTAATTATGAATTGATTTGAACACCATTATTCATGTTTTAGTTTGAAAGCAGAATTGTTTCATTATCTTTCAGAAATCGAAAAATTGAGACTAAGAGTTTCTGGTAGATAAGCTTCTAAAAAGTGAGATTTTTCTTTTGGAATGATGATGACTGAGGTTCTGAGAGACTGAGGTGTTACCTGTGTTCTCAGATTCATCGAATGAGTACCAATTAATGCTTCTGTAGTTGTATCGACTTAGCACCTCAATCTCTATTGTGTCATTCCACAGAGCAACACGAGAACTGTTGACACTCGAAGTCACAAATCGAGTCATGCAGAAGTAGATGCTAAAATAAGGTAATAATTGAGGAGTGGTAGGAGTAAGAAAATCAGCTGATCTCAGATCTACTTTCTCAACAAAACAGCACTGGAGAGCTCGATGACTTGCAGACTATGTGTTTTTTTTCAATCCTGCTGCAAAGTATTAGACTTATTTTGATTGAAAGCAGATTTGAATTTCCGTTACGATGCCAAACTGTTCCTTCATCAGATGCACATTTGCTGGGCGTATGTGTGTGTATGTTGTGTGTATGGTGTGTTTTGTGTAGAAAACTGTGGAATCAGGGAAAACGTCCAGGGAAAACAAAAGAATAAAGAAAGATAGATGAAAAAAAAACTTGTTGAGTAATTTGCAACGAACTCAGAAAAAAAAACACAGTTTTGTCTCATAATTTTTTGCAGCAATCTTGAGAAGCATCCATTCTCTTGTTCATCTCGGCCAAACTAAAACTAAATTTGCACGATCGTAAAAAAATAGTTTTGCGAGAAAGTTGAGAGCCACACTTTCAAATAGAAAATTGAAATTGATATTGAAAACGAAAACTGAAAAGGACACTGGAAAAAAACTATTGCTAGAGAAAAAACAGCTTTCTAGCTTATAATGGTGCCCTAACTTTCTCGAGCAAAACCACATATGAAATTGACTCAAAAAATTAGTCAAATTTAAACACAAATGATTCACTACATTTTAAATCTAAGATTTCTTAAATTAAAAAGCACAACTGTACAATAAGTTCCTCTGAACACCAAATTTTTAGTTTCTGGATTACCTTTCAACTTCAGTTTAAGAAATAGGGCGACATAAAAAAGTCCCTCCAAGAATGATTTCTACACTCAATTGGTGTCATTGTTTTTTTCACAATAATTTGGGCTTTTTATGAAAAAGTCTTGTGCGAACAACAAAAAAAAACAAGATTTTTCCCAGAAAAGTACACCGAATTTTGTTGATAGAGATTGTTTTGGCATTATTGAGTCTCTCCAAAAAAATTCTGAGCAAAATGTTAATGCTCTTCTAACAGAAGTTTCAAATTTGCAAAAAATTAACAACTTTATAGTGTAAGAAGGATCTTTTTCTAAATTTTAACTATAATTTTAAATCTAAGATTACTTTCTGAATAAAATGATTTGATTTTTCTTTTAAAATGAAACTGTGAACCAACGTTTCCGTTGGAAGAAAATCAACACCTTGCTCAGTAGTCTTTTTTTCTTTTTCGAGGTTTTGTTTTGTTTTTGTTCTTTTATTTTCTGTAAAAAGTTTGTTGGCAGATTTTTTTTTTGTTCGGAGAAAAAAATTTTCAGCTTCAGCTGATAACGAGCTCAGGATGTTGAGAGAAAACAAAACAAGAAATCAATATGAGTTTAGAAATCATTTTTCAAGGTTTTTTGTGCCCCTGTATCTTTAAACTTAAAATGCAAAAATATTCCAATCACTAAAACTTTGGTTTACAGAAAAAAATGACTCTACAGTTTAGCTTTTTGATTTACTTACGTTTTTGATAGCTCACAAGGCCGTCATTGTTATTTTAACCATTGATTTGAGATTGTGTAGCCTAATTTTTGTTCAATAATAATAGATTCAATCACAAAAGAATTATAAAATTCATCTAAATTTTATGCATTGCTATTTTTCTTATCAATCAAAATGTTAGGACATGGATAAATCGAAACCCCACAGACAATTTTTTGTCCTTTTTGTCTATGAATTGACGCAGCCCTGGCCAACTTTGACCACTAATTGAGTAGTTGGTAGCATAAGTTGCTATCAGCATAAGTAGCATATCGGCTACCCTAAGTGGTTTCCAATCAAACCACCTTCACATTTACAGATTTTTTGAAAGACTCATGATCATTTTAATGCAGTTGTTCATTTCAAGTCGTTTAAAATGAGCAATATTTGCGAATAACTTTTTTGAAAGCTGGTATGTTTTACCACCATTCTGTAAATTTAGTCAGCAGAAAAATTGATACCATGACCTCATTAATGATTGTCCTTTTAAATCAGAATATGTAACCAGAACTAATTACAGAGAAAAGGTTGGTTATTTTATCTGATACACTCTAGCTTTCCGCAGCTCTGACATCTTAAAGAATACTAATCAGGATCTAGAATTATGCGACAGAATTTTATCGGGTCTCATCCAAAGTTGAACCAAAAAATCATTGCACGATCGGATCCGAAACAGATTTTTTTGGGAGCAACTCGACATTGCAAGGAATCTTGTGCTCAATCAACTCCATTTCAGAGGCGCAGCCAATTCAGGTATTAATGCAGTCCAGTTCATAGCCTGGTGCAGCCCAGTTAAGAGTTTTGTGCAGTCCACTTCAGAGTTTTGTGCAGTCCATTTGCAAGTTTGCGCCGTACAGTTTATTGGTTGGCAAAATCCAGTTCAGAGATAAGCACAAACCAGCTCAGAGGTGTGCGCAGACTAGTTCATAAATAGGCGGGGAGGGGGGCAGTTCACAAAAACTGTTAGACAGAACAGCTCAGCCACAAAAATGTGCTATAAGTATACTTTTTCTCGGCACTCAAGAAATCACTGTGCTGTTAAATAATGGAGGATTTCTCATGCGTTTTTCGCTTGAAATTATAGAATTTTCAGCTCGCTCACAAGTATATCCGGGTACATCTAAAATCATCATAAAGACTAGGTGGTCTGATTTTCCGGCAAAACCTTTTGGTTTTGTGTCCAGTTTTTTTTTTCAGTTTGGCAACCTTGATTTGTTTGAACACATGAACAAAGAGTTTCGAAGAACTTGTCAATTTCTATGAAAGATATTCGTAAGAAGTTGTTCGACTCAATTCTTTTTGATTTCGTTCCCCCGTTAGCTCTCCAATTTATCATTTTGATAATGTTTATAATATGTTGTATTTGAGTAGTTCTGTAGCAAACGAGAGTAAACATCTTGGCGTGTCCTCGGGTAATTTTGATGTCCCTACTATTGTTTCTGGCCATCCTTTTTGTCAAGCAATCCACTCAAGAAGTCTATCAACTGAAAAACCCGTTTGAACCATCTGCTGCTGGCCCTTCGTTCGTGATTTGGCAATGTTGTTGGTCAAACAGCATCCATAATTTGAGTCCTTGTGTACCAAGTACAAATTTGTCAAGGTTGTATTTGCTATTTCGGTGGAGCCGATCATGTCGCGAAACATGGGTAACGCGCTTTCTAATATACTCGCAGTCAACACAAACGCTAGCCCCATAACGCCTCTTGTCCCCTCAAATTAAAAAAAAATTCAAATAGTCTTTTCCAGATTTACATTTTTGTCGTGGACACCTGTTACCACAACACCTTCATAAAAATCGCTATTTTCAAGCCGTTCGCTCAGACTGCTGATGTAGCAGGAACATTTTATCATGCCTGCTATATCAGCAGTCCATTCGCTTTTTTGTGAACTGAAATCTTTTTTCGTGTGGGGAACCGTATGATTTGCACCGAGACCCATTCATCACGCCTCACCTCTCGTGCCCCGTTTTTTGTACCTCATCGGTTTTAACAGCGTGCGTCAGGGATTGATTCCAAGCCCATTAACGATAAATACTTAGCAGAGCCAGAAACTCTTTACTCTCGGTCTTTGAGTTCTGTTGCTCAAATTGAAACTATTGTATAGTACAATGGCAATACATTACATTGACATGAGTGATAAGAGGATTTTAGGAGTGCCATCGAATCTAGGTTAACCCTAGCCGATGGTTTGAAGCTGCCAAGCTTGAAAACACTCTAGTGTTCGATATGATTAAAATGCCATCGCTGAGTTTGCGTATAGCGAAAATAAGTTTTAGAAAAGCACTCAACACCTTCTGGGTATTTTTTGTCAAAGCACACTGCAGTTTTTCCCGCATCTTTTTCCAATCTAGTCTTTGTGCCTATGCATATCTCTGACAGCATTAGTTTTTCAATAATATCTAGCCACGTTGGAATGTTTAAGTTAAATATTCATAATCAAAAACTTGTGAGGGCCACTTTCAGGTAAAGTTGTCTATAAATTACCTACAAAATTGTAAACTTGGTCTTTCCATAAAGTTAAGAGTAACTTAGAGCACGCAAAACTGCTGGGTTTCATCGAATAGCAATGTCTGATGCACATGAAAAAATGCGTTGTTCCTCTACCAAACAAAACAGAGTTTTTTTCAAAGCCATGAGCTAAACTTTTGCAGCTGCGACAGAAAAAGTTAACAAAGCCCAATATACGCCATGACTCCTTTGAAAGGAAACAGTGACTTCTCCCGTTTTGAGTCAGATCACATGTTCTGTAGTTGTTCTAAGGCTTAAGTAAGGTGTCAATGAAGGATGTGAAAGCACCCGAAACTCATTGCTGCTCGGGCAAACTGCATATAAATTTCAGAACTGTCTGATAAATCTGCTTATTCAAGAAAAATCCTTTGAGAAAATATATGATATAAACTTTCCATTGACCAACAACAGCTATATAATTTTTAAAAATCTCTGCTATGATCTTGAAATACTCTTTTTCCGTAGGTGACTAGGGATGTCTGTTGTAGGTATTTCATTGTAAAATCACTTGCAAAAAAAAACGACGTCTAAACGCCCGTTCTCAGCGATTCCGCCTACACACTCTGATTGTCTTTGATTATTCTGAGCCAAGTTTCGTTTCTTCGTAAATGGACGTAAGTTATCGAGTTTTATGACAGCGCAGTAGATTAAGTGCAAAGTAAAACTTGTAAATTGTACCGCTGATACAGCCTTCAGAGTTCGTTCAGAATCGTCGCACCGATCAACATAACAATTTTTTTACTAGTATAAGTCATTTGAGTACCCTGTAGAGCGACTACCCTCAAACTGGAAGTGTTAACTCAAGCTTTTAAGTCAAGTTTTTAGCATTCTAGATTACCCACGCAGGGACATATCGCCGTCTCGCTGTCTTATATCAAAAAAAATTCAAATCTATTTACTGATCGGCTGGCAGCAATTCTCGATTTTACCATAGCCAGAAAACCGCCGAATTGTGGGGAAAATTTTTGAAAAAAGTAATCCTTTCCTTCGACCAATGGATTGGTTTCTAAACCTTCAATATTTTCGACTCGAGAGTCTGTTGATGGTATTGTTGACACCATGTCAAACTCGTATGCAGTTCAAGTAATCATGCAAAACCGTTCTCCGTTCGGAACGCATTTAGCTCATTTTGATCCTTATAGCACAGTCTGTTGTACTGGCTGCTATCAATACCCCGCCACAAAAGTTTTTGTAGCAAAGATGTCAAATAACAGATCCGTTTGAACTTAATACTGCCGAAAAAAAAATGTTTTGGTTTTCCATCAAAAGTCGTCAAAAGTCGGATTGTGACCTGCTCTTTGATTTTGGGCGTAATAAATTGTTTCGTTTCACAAGATCGTGTCAAGCGCATGTCGCAAGCATATTTCAACGCTAAGCTACATGTTATCTTGGATGCTCGCCATCCACTGGCTTTGTTGTTCTTCCGTCAGCTCCACGTGAAGCTGCTAAACATTGATCATTTACGTTCCCTGATTCAACTGCGTTTCGCTGTAAAATCGATATTGTCATATTTCCAGGTTGAGCGTTTCGGGTTTGCGCATACATTCTTGTAAGTTTTTGTTGTCAATCACTTTGTTCAAAATCATGTTACCATCAGGCGCAGCTCATCAGGCAAAGCTCTATCAAATCTGGTGAGTCCTCCTGCTAGGCTGCTTCATTACCCACATCTTCCGTATTGAAATCTTTCACTCCTTGAATTCAAGCTTTCGTATTGTTCAACGAGCTGTTCTTCACGCACTGCGGTGTGCGGTCCTTGTTTGGTCCGGGATGATTTTTGTTGGCGAGGAAACAATTCTACTCAAAAACTTCCTTAAAAAAGTAGAAAGTACCTACCAGCCCTCCAGCTACATGAAGGGAAAATTTAATCCACCACGAGCCCCAGATCCTGGTGAAAATTGGGAAAAATTTTCCGCTGCTGTGAGTGAGTCTTCACTGCGATATTAAGTTGCATTTCTGCGAGTTTGCCGCCTAATACTTCAGGTGAGTTTGGACACTACCGATCTAGAACTGCTAGAATTGCAATCACTTTCTTTTTCGGCAGTATTGCGCAGGTTTTCCGTCTCTGTTCGCTGACGAATTTTTTGGCCATCAGAAAGGGCACCCCTGCTCAATTGCTAGCGAATGCTATATGGTCACGCTGGCTGATGGAGTAAGTAATGGAGTAAGCTCAGGACTGGTAGTCTCGTGTGATTAGTTGAGCATTAGCCCAAAGGGTTACGAACCCTCTGCTCGTATCGTTTCGTTCAACGACGGCAAAGATTATTAAGCTCAATCCGGTAATTCTCTCTTTGGGTGGAGGATTACACGAATGAAATTAACACATAAGAAATTATAGTACCACTTGAACATTTCAAAAATTATCGCTCATATATAATTCTAATGGCAGTGCGGTTACGGTGCTAAACCAGAAATTAAAATCGACGCCTCGGGATGGGTCCTAACGCCGCCATTATCTTTGCTTATGTACTGTTTTTCACTCTGAAATGTTGAGGCGTGGCTGGATCAACTTTCACAGGCGTTTCTTGGGCCTAAAACTTGACGTGACCTTGCCCAATTTTGACCGCCATGTTGAGTTCACGTTTTTAAATTACATTGAAATAGTAGATTCATAGTAGTTTTCTGCTTTCGTACTTTTGAAGTTGTTGAACCTTCTAATTGAGCCATATCTTTGATTAAACCTTCGAAAACTGTATTTTTTTGCGACGAACATACGAAGTTTTTTTTTAAAAAAAAAGAATAAATATGGGGATTTTTTACAGCTAATTTTCTACAGAAACTATCCTGGATCCAGGACTAATAGTCATATTTTATCAATATCGGGTCTAATCAAAGTTTTGTCATAAAATCAAAAATGCAAAATTACTTGTCGGTTTTGGTTTCTACAGTAAAAACTCTCGACATCCTATAGTAAACTACCCCATCAGATTTTCTTTTTAAAATTTTGACGTTAACGTAATATAACAAAAAGAATCAACCTGTCTTTTGACGGTTTTTAAAAACAAATTCTAGGTCGACTACCTTGATATGGTGATTGCAAAAAAAACTGAAAATTTTCTTACTTTAAATTGCGACATTCAGCTCCCTTTTCTGATTTGGGATCTGGCAAAATGAACTCGAAAGACTCGTAAGACGAGGCATCGTCAATTATGAAGGCTGAAACAAAGTAACGTTGAGCACCATGTAGAAATGTTAATTTTATTCCTTCCACTAGGTGGTGCAGTTTTTGCAATCCAAAGTTTTTCAAAAACTGCACCACCTGCACCACAATGTGTAAAACTTTCCTTGCTGAAATAAATGGCTAGATTTTTCTAACAATCTACTGGGCACATAAACATATAATTAAGATCTGACGTATCAGCTGATTTTGAATTGAGGCACCTAAGCGATGTGCTTCGCTTTGAAAAATTAACTTCCGAGTCAGTTTGACGTCCCTTCGATTCGTGGGGTAAAATGCTGCTCCAGCCGTCTAAAATTTTTTTTTCATGAAACTCACTATTTAAAATTTTTCCTATTAGTGTGATAATGTGAGTCGTGATGCACTCAACTAACCAGGATAAGAGCAAATTCATTACAAAATGATTTGCTTTTATAAGTCGAGAAAACCAAAGAACCTGATAAAAGAAGTTTCCAACTTTTCCCATGTTTTCAGCTCCTATTTTGTTCAAAATACTTCTGAAAATTTAATTTAAAAAAAGAACGGGCGCTTGAAAAATATTGTCCACAAAAAAAACCAATATCTGCAATTACATATTTTTAATTAAATTTGAAATTGAATAAATTGATGATTTTATTCAACTTAAGCAGTACATAAAAAATCAACATTTTTTGGATTTTTTTCTTTCATGTGGTTAATGAGTAAGAGCTCCTCGGAAAAAAATGTTCACACTGGAAACCTTTTTCCGTGACCTCCCAAAACCTCCCAGACATCCTAAGATTCGAGCTAGCTCAAACTCTAAAGCAACTTCGAAAAAAAAACTGAAAAAACCGGCAAACATGCCTCAAAGTATCCCAAAACATAGGTTTTTGTTTGTCGCCTAATCATGAAAACACAACTGTGGGAGATATTTTTAAACTCCGACTCAAAAAAAAACAGAATGGTTTCTAATAATCAAACAGAATGGTTTCTAATAATCAAACAGAATGGTTTCTAATATAACTCACGGTAAAAAAGGAAAAGAAAGATCAAGTTTGGTCGAATAAACTGCATCATATTTGAAAAATTACTTTTCGAAATCAGCTTTTGCAATTTTCAACCTTGGGATAATAAACAGGCGAAATTTAAGAAACTCAGGTAAATGTCAAACGAAATTTAAATAAACATCTATTATGCTGTTATATCTTGCTCAGCGGTTCTCTGTCAAAAACAGATAAATGGTTTAGTAGCATGAACAATACTGAACAGCTGATTAAGCAAATTTATACCGGTGTCGAGCTTTCGTTGATAATAATAGCTGAAATTTTGCAAATTTGGTTTTAATATGGATTTAACTTTTATCTAATGTTTAGTTAAAAATGGTCATCAATTCTTTGTATTTTTGGTTGCTTTGGGATGAATTCGCAATTATTTATTAATGTTTTGCTGGAAAATGAAATGTCTTTTAGCGCTGAGTGAGCAAGGATATAGCTTTGTTTCTGTGCTGGGAAATTTTTTAGTTTATCACAGATTAGTTAGCGCTTGGTTATCGATGGCTCAGAGCTTCGCAGGTCTAGTCATTCTGAAAATCTTGTCAAGATCTTGAAGAATCTTGAAAACTTACCCAAAAGTTCTATGGGTTTCATAAAGCTTCAAAAGTTAAAAAAAACATGACTAGAGCCTCATGAAATTGTATGATGGCTCCGAGGCTCACTGTTTTGAAATTTTTGAGAAATTTTTGCAAGATATTAAAGATTCTTCAAGATTTTTTGAAGATTCTTTATTATCTCTGAAAATAACCAGGAAAACTAGCGTAAAATTTTGCTGTCAATTTGATAAAATGAACGTCATTTGGCATAATAGTGAATTGAAGGTGAACTGGAGCAAAGTTTCCTTTAACGAGTCAGGAACCCTTTTTTTGAACTTTTTTTAGTTTGTTTTTGTCGAATCATTTTTTGTGATCCAATTCAGAGATCGATTGGCATTGACCACCCATTACTAATAATTGACTTCAGTGTCTCATTTACAGAGATTTTTTAGCGATAACAAACTTAATTATTGATAGAAACAGGGAGCTTATAGCAAAAAAAGTTCTTAAGGACTTCAAGTATTTTTTGTGCATTATGATTCGACAGCACGTATTGTTGGAACATAAGGTTAGCAAAATCTGGCACTTTGAATAACTGGAATTTTTTTCTGCTAAATTACAAGTCGATGCAAGTACATTTTCGGTTCCCATTCTTTTTCTACAATTTTTATGTTTTTATTTTACGTTTGAACAAAAAAAAACGAAAGTGCATTTTCATGAAGCCAGTCAAAACTTTGCATGATTCGATCATCGGTCGATCACTGTGGGTTGGTGTTAGTTTTCAGAATAGAACGTTTTATTTCACGCTCCATTTTACTTCTTTTATTCTTCAAGGTATTTGACATAAACTGTACATACCTACCTACAGTTTTGAAACATTTTATCATGGCGCAGTCAAAAGAATCGAACGTGCGTGGAAAACCGTCATTTTGGCTGAACTACTCTTTAGAGCCACCACATTCCTCGACCCAGTGGAGCGACCAATGAACGAAAGAAAGTCTGGACATAAATAGCCTCAATGGACCGAAGGTACCAGAGATGCAAATTCCGATTCTGGAGCAACCCACAGGCAGCGAGTTGGACAAACACAAATCAGTAGAGAAGCACGAAAGTATAAGAAGCCGTCGAAGAAAAGCGGATAAACGAAGAAAAAAAATTCATATCCATGAAGCCGAATGGATGATAGATATCTTCATTTGCAATATGAAGAATAAGGAAACTCAACGGAAACTCCTCTCAGCCACGATGAGCCCGTCGGAAACCATTAATCAGGCCTTAATTGACAAGAAGGGCTTTTTTGATCATCAAAAATCGGCCAAAATGGCAAGATCCTTGACCAATGGGCCGACTTTTAATTTTTAAAATACTCAAATCAGATCAGGAAGGAGCCGAGCCTCAACAAAGAAAGAAGCAACGCTTGCATGAAAGGTGAGAATCCAATTACGAAAGGACATCTGAACGTAGGCCCAGCAAGGGACATCACGAGTAAAAAATGTAATTGTACAGCACATTTTTCTAAAATTTTTAAATCCCGCAACAAACCACCTTCTGTAAAAACATTAAACGATAATCAAGTAAACAACGATAATTGTGTATACGTCCCACCGGAAAGTTCGTGGAGCGAAAATCAATTAAACATAAGATTGGGATGGGAAATGATCGTAAACATGATCATTTAGGTATATTCGGCGAGCCCAGTTGGCTTTCTAAAACAAAATGTACTGCACGAACTTAAGCTAAGATATCCCAAGCTAAAATTTTACCCAATGGAGAGGAGAAAAAGGGATCAATATTGTGGCTCCACCGACGATACAATCAACATTCTGGGGAATATTATCGCCAGGACGCAATCCAACGGTTGGATTAGTGAAGAAACTCCGTTCTTCATCACAGGTGGACATGAATGCAAGATACTGGGGAACGGTAGCCTACCAAACATAGGTATCAAAACAAAGCAGAAGAAATTCCCCCAGCCACTTTGCTCAGTCAGTGAACCACAAAGCGAGAGTAGTGGAAAAAACCTTACTCACCAACCGATCAAAACTTTAACATCTTTCAGGAACTATTCACACGGGTGGGACAAAATTCGAACGGTTGCAAGGTTACTCACTTCCAATCCCCGGTTAAACTTTTTCAGGCAAAAGGGAGAAGAGTTCCCCTACACTTCTTGTCGTGAGTAAATCAAACATTAGAAGAAAAAAGACCAATGATCGCATTGAAAAACTCTAAAAATGACGATGATTGTTTTCTTTAGTCCGATTATTATAACCAAGAAGGAAGACGGCTCGATTAAATTGGCACCAGATTCTAAGTAGCTATCTGATAAGATTTTAAAAAATAAACACCAAATGACCAAAATCCTTGAACTAAATGATAACATGGTCATTTAACTCTCGGAAACCACCACTGGGCAGGTTTGGTATAGTAACTTGGATTTGAAAAACGCGTAGTCAACTCAAATTGGGAGAAAAAAACGAGTAAGCAATTTAACTTCACATAATGTGGGCGGCGAAGCAACGGGAACCTATCAATTTTTAACCGGGTTTTACGGACTGGGATATATGCCCAACGAGTTTCAACGGGTCATGGACTCACTCTTAAAGAACATACCGTGTATAAATTGTTATATAGACGACAACCTGGTAGCATCGAAGGGATCTCTATTTGAACAAAAAGCAATTTTAACATTCCCTGACCAGAAAAACATGGCGGTGAAATAGTGAAAAGGCGCATTCTTTCAGTCAGAAAAAGAATGGCTAGGTTTTAAAATCTCGGGAGATGGAGTACCACCGTATGTCGGTAAAGCAGACGCTATAAGAACCTCCCAATCCCCAAGAACTTTTCGGAAACGCGATCCTTCTTCGGCTCTATGAACCATTGCGTAAAAATCGTCTAAAACTTGTCGACCCTGAGCACCCCACTTTGTCCACATTTGAACAAAGAATTGGTTTATAGCCTTTGAAAAGCTGAAAACAGATTTTGTAAATATTACAGAAAAAAATCTTTTCAATAAAAACCGACGCTTCTCATAGCGTTCCCGGCACAACTTTAGAACAATTTCAAGGGGGCAGTGGAAAATGATTGCATTTGCCACAAGTATTCTAAACAGCCATAAAATGAAGTATTCCACCAACGGAGTTGAACTGCTGGGCGTAGTGTGGACACCAAAAAAGTTTTGAAATTTACCTTTACGGGGCAGAAATCGAAACCGTAACAAAGCATAAAGCCCTACTATCAGCTCTTTCAGCAAATCTTAGCAATAGAACTAAGCATAGCAGACTATTCCGCTGGGTAAATAGACTGTTACTTTTCAACTTTAAGGTTTCTGATATACCAGGCAAGGACATGGGTTTTACCGATCTTTTATCTAGACTATCTTCAGCCAAAGCACTCTCACCTTCTTATTACGACGAAGATTTTGTAGTCGCTTCAATTGACAAAATTCGGAAACTTTTATCTAACAGAGATTGTTTTATCCGCGTAAAAATACATTCTGTAGATAGACCGTCGGTCGCTGTAAATAAAAATAGTTGAAAATTCAAGCGATCTGATTTGTCAAGATTATTATTATAGCTCTTTAGCAATTTTCAACCTTAGAATTTTTCGCTAACATCTCTTGTAATGCACAATCGAAAAAAAATTTGCGATAATACTCTTATCAGAGCAGAAAATTGTTCATCAAAGTGCTTACCTTTAGACAATTCTAAATTCAATTGTTGAAGCAATACTTACTCGGACAAGGTCCTTTCATATTTTATTATGCAATACACTTACTTAATTCACCAGAAGAACTCCATCGGTACAAAAAGAATGGAAGAAACTACCGGCCCATTATTTATCATATCAGAAGAACACAACAACTCAGTAAAATTCGAAGACAATCACCTCCCAGACGATCATGTAAACCTCCTGAATATCCTTCAAATCAAGTTTGAAACGACCCAATTCCCCATTATTTCCAGAAGAGCACTGTTCAAAGAAACCACTCCTGATAATGAAGAGGGAAGACAAATTAATTTGGGGTTTAACCGAAGACATAAAATCGAAGACCAATGGGCATTCATGGAAGCTATAGGAAGAATTATGAAAAAGACCTCCACGTGAAAGACGATCTATTTTTTTGGATAAAAAGCTAGTGGTACTGGCAGCCATTAGATGAATATTCAGCTCAATGTTACTAGAAAATCATCCAGACCAAATTAGGATGAAGTTCTGAGCCGAATATAACTGGTGGCCACATATCTACCGAGAGATATACCATATGGGGAAGTCATGTAATCAATGCCTGAGAGCCGGTAAGAATCGCAAAGTTTTACTCGGTACGGATTCAACCACAAAGCTCTCCACAATATCGTTCGCGAACGAGGAAAAAAACTCGGACTTCGCAGGACGTTTGGACACGGTTTTACAAAGTTTCAATCGGCGAAGGTCGTCAACAATACCACATTAAGTTCGTTTACTTTCTTTTTTAATGGTTATTGTCACCACCACGGATTTCCGTGGAAGATTGAAGTCGACCACGGGCTCTTTCTTTTATCCAACGATCTTAAATCCTTTTGCGAAAGATTCAACATCGAAATCATTTACTGTACAGTTGGTGATTATTGATGAAATGGGCTTGTTGAAAG